ATGTTGACTACCTCGCCTGGTCTACAGGAGGTCGTGGGTTCAATCCCAGACACTGAGAGATGTTGACTACCTCGCCTGGTCTACAGGAGGTCGTGGGTTCAATCCCAGACACTGAGAGATGTTGACTACCTCGCCTGGTCTACAGGAGGTCGTGGGTTCAATCCCAGACACTGAGAGATGTTGACTACCTCGCCTGGTCTACAGGAGGTCGTGGGTTCAATCCCAGACACTGAGAGATGTTGACTACCTCGCCTGGTCTACAGGAGGTCGTGGGTTCAATCCCAGACACTGAGAGATGTTGACTACCTCGCCTGGTCTACAGGAGGTCGTGGGTTCAATCCCAGACACTGAGAGATGTTGACTACCTCGCCTGGTCTACAGGAGGTCGTGGGTTCAATCCCAGACACTGAGAGATGTTGACTACCTCGCCTGGTCTACAGGAGGTCGTGGGTTCAATCCCAGACACTGAGAGATGTTGACTACCTCGCCTGGTGTACAGGAGGTCGTGGGTTCTAATCCCAGACACTGAGAGATGTTGACTACCTCGCCTGGTCTACAGGAGGTCGTGGGTTCAATCCCAGACACTGAGAGATGTTGACTACCTCGCCTGGTCTACAGGAGGTCGTGGGTTCAATCCCAGACACTGAGAGATGTTGACTACCTCGCCTGGTCTACAGGAGGTCGTGGGTTCAATCCCAGACACTGAGAGATGTTGACTACCTCGCCTGGTCTACAGGAGGTCGTGGGTTCAATCCCAGACACTGAGAGATGTTGACTACCTCGCCTGGTCTACAGGAGGTCGTGGGTTCAATCCCAGACACTGAGAGATGTTGACTACCTCGCCTGGTCTACAGGAGGTCGTGGGTTCAATCCCAGACACTGAGAGATGTTGACTACCTCGCCTGGTCTACAGGAGGTCGTGGGTTCAATCCCAGACACTGAGAGATGTTGACTACCTCGCCTGGTCTACAGGAGGTCGTGGGTTCAATCCCAGACACTGAGAGATGTTGACTACCTCGCCTGGTCTACAGGAGGTCGTGGGTTCAATCCCAGACACTGAGAGATGTTGACTACCTCGCCTGGTCTACAGGAGGTCGTGGGTTCAATCCCAGACACTGAGAGATGTTGACTACCTCGCCTGGTCTACAGGAGGTCGTGGGTTCAATCCCAGACACTGAGAGATGTTGACTACCTCGCCTGGTCTACAGGAGGTCGTGGGTTCAATCCCAGACACTGAGAGATGTTGACTACCTCGCCTGGTCTACAGGAGGTCGTGGGTTCAATCCCAGACACTGAGAGATGTTGACTACCTCGCCTGGTCTACAGGAGGTCGTGGGTTCAATCCCAGACACTGAGAGATGTTGACTACCTCGCCTGGTCTACAGGAGGTCGTGGGTTCAATCCCAGACCCTGAGAGATGTTGACTACCTCGCCTGGTCTACAGGAGGTCGTGGGTTCAATCCCAGACACTGAGAGATGTTGACTACCTCGCCTGGTCTACAGGAGGTCGTGGGTTCAATCCCAGACACTGAGAGATGTTGACTACCTCGCCTGGTCTACAGGAGGTCGTGGGTTCAATCCCAGACACTGAGAGATGTTGACTACCTCGCCTGGTCTACAGGAGGTCGTGGGTTCAATCCCAGACACTGAGAGATGTTGACTACCTCGCCTGGTCTACAGGAGGTCGTGGGTTCAATCCCAGACACTGAGAGATGTTGACTACCTCGCCTGGTCTACAGGAGGTCGTGGGTTCAATCCCAGACAATGAGAGATGTTGACTACCTCGCCTGGTCTACAGGAGGTCGTGGGTTTAATCCCAGACACTGAGAGATGTTGACTACCTCGCCTGGTCTACAGGAGGTCGTGGGTTCAATCCCAGACACTGAGAGATGTTGACTACCTCGACTGGCACGCAGGAGGTGGTGGGTTCTATCCCAGAGACTGAGAGATGTTGACTACCACGCCTGGTACGCAGGAGGTCGTGGGTTTGATCTCGACCCTGACGACGCCTGCTGCTGTATGTTTGGAGTTTGAGTGTCTCTCATCATCATGGTGGCTAGCAGATGTTGATTACCTCGCCTGGTGTACAGGTCGTGGGTTTGATCTCGACCCTGACGACGCCTGCTGCTGTATGTTTGGAGTTTGAGTGTCTCTCATCATCATGGTGGCTAGCAGATGTTGATTACCTCGCCTGGTGTACAGGAGGTCGTGGGTTTGATCTCGACCCTGACGACGCCTGCTGCTGTATATTTGGAGTTTGCGCATCTCTCTCCCCATGGTTGTGTGGATTTTTTTCCCGGCACCCTCCGGCTTTTCCCCTCCATGTGCATTGGCCGCTGCTATAGAAGTCCACGTGACAAGCCACCTCATTCGGCGAGGTCGCTTTCGGAAAAAAGAGCTCTCTATCTCAGTGGGCCTTGCCTGGTGAAATATATAGTAAACAGTTAGTAAGTCACATGACCAAGACGTACAATTCCGCAGGCTGCAATTGACAAGACCCAGGGGGTTGGCAGCCTGATGCGTCGGAGCCGCATGCGGCCCTTTAAGGGCTGCTTTGTGACGTCATTCATCACGTGCATTGAGGCCCTTTAAGGGCTGCTTTGTGACGTCATTCATCACGTGCATTGAGGCTCTTTAAGGGCTGCTTTGTGACATCATTCATCACGTGCATTGAGGCCCTTTAAGGGTTGCTTTGTGACGTCATTCACCACGTGCATTGAGGCTCTTTAAGGGCTTCTTTGTGACGTCATTCATCACGTGCATTGAGGTTCTTTAAGGGTTGCTTTGTGACGTCATTCATCACGTGCATTGAGGTACAGTTCTCGCAATCATCCATAAGTTGAGCTTTGCCGGGAGAAAAGCGCCGAGTAGTTAAGAGTTGAGTTCTTGCCGAGGCAGACTTAAGTATCGCTGAAAGTTTTCGACGCTTTTTCATTTTCGAGTCACTTGCAGAGTAAAGGACTTGGAGAAGTCGTACTGCACTAAGCTCAGAGTTGTGAGCTGAGACGTGGAACAGGTGGAGATTTGAGTGGCACACCGATAGAATGCCCGAGCGACAGGCTGTAAAAGTTGTTGGTTAAGCCCAGTGACTTGACGTTGTATGTGGTGGAGAGGCCAGGGTAGAGGGGGGGGTCACGTGCAGGCTGCTGCCCTAGGCTGCTCTACAGGCAGCGTGCTGGGCCCGACACGCCGCGTTTGAATGTTGAAGCGAGATTCATCGATGTCGTCACGATTGACAATACAAACCCCTAGACAACTAGAGAGCCAGTAACAAGTCGCGATACACTTTGTGCACAATCGAAAATAATCATAAACATACATATTAGTCAAGAATATAAATCACAACAATAATACTCTTTGGTTCTTTCGGTAGTCACGTAGGTATAAAATAAAATGTGTTGCGCCTGAAACGTGACTTTACTGAAAGAACCAAAGAGTATGGATTCTTGCAGTCACGAAAACTTCAAATAACAATAATAACACACACAACAAACACGTTTTTGTAATGACACATCTAACATTACATTGCACAATCAACATTTCTGAAAACTTTCGAATTTTCACAATGCAATTATGAAAATTACAATGGGTCTCTGTGGGAGTCTATGGGTCTCTGTATGATGAGTTTACGGGTCTTTGTGTCTATGGGTGTTTGTGAATCTATGGGTCTCTGTGTGACGAGTCGATGGTCTCTGTGGTGAGTCTATGGGTCTCTGTATGAGTCTATGGGTCTCTAAATGATGAGTCTATGGGTCTCTGTGGTGAGCCTATGGGTCTCTGTATGAGTCTATGGGTCTGAGTATATGGGTCTCTGTATGACGAGTCTATGGCTCTTGAGTCTATGGGTCTCTAAATGATGAGTCTATGGATTTGTGTGATTAGTCTATGAATATCTGCGTGATGAATCTATTGGTCTGCGTTATAAGTCTATGGGTCTCTTTGTGAGTCTATGGATCTCTGTATGAGTCTATGGGTCTGTGAGTATATGGGTCTCTGTATGACGAGTCTATGGCTCTGCGTGAGTCTATGGGTCTCTAAATGATGAGTCTATGGATTTGTGTGATTAGTCTATGGGTATCTGCATGATGAATCTATTGGTCTGCGTTATGAGTCTATGGGTCTCTTTGTGAGTCTATGGGTCTCTGTGTGAGTCTATGTGTATGTGTGATTAGTCTATGGGTATCTGCGTGATGAATCTATTGGTCTGCGTGACGAGTCTATGGGTCTCTGTGTGAGTCTATGGGTATGTGTGATTAGTCTATGGGTATCTGCGTGATGAATCTATTGGTCTGCGTTATTAGTCTATGGGTCTCTTTGTGAGTCTATGGGTCTCTATGTTACATTATACACTAGTGAGTGGGTGGGTGGCCAGCAATACGGCTGAACGCATTTGTCTCCCTAGGGGGCAATGTTTACAAACCACACCGGGTATACACTATATATACTTATATTTATGCGATCTATAAAGAAAGAAAACGGCGCACAAATGGATCCCTGGAATATGGCCAAAGTCCTTTTCCAGTTAACTAAACAAACACATTTTTTTTCCCCGCTAATGCCGACCAAGCTGAAATGACCCCTTTTTCAGAAGCGACGGGGTCATCACCAGCGACAATCTCGATTCTCATCCTCCTGCTTCACGCCGACTCCATCCACCAGGAGGTCGCCACCTGGAGTCGAACCCTGACCTTCACGCTTCACCGTTGTCTCTTCTTCACACTTCACCATCACTCCTGGCCACGTAGCGAAGTTGTCATTTTCTTCCGATTCTTGTTTTATGAAAGATGGACTCATGGGAGCAGCACTTTGACCATCGCAAGTAGATTTCACCCTCTCATGGATCTTCTCATGCTTCTTTCGTTTTTCTGACGCAGCAAACCCTTTCCCACACACGGTGCACTTGTAGGGCTTCTCACCCGTGTGCGTTCTCTCGTGAACTCGAAGAGAACTTGATTGTACAAATGCCTTCCCACACATAGTGCACTTGAATGACTTCTCACCTGTGTGTGTTCTCCGATGAATCCGAAGATAGTTTGAGTAGATAAATGCCTTCCCACAGACGGTGCACTTGTAGGGCTTCTCACCTGTGTGCGTTCTCTCGTGAACTCGAAGATAGTTTGAATAGACAAATGCCTTCCCACACACGGTGCACTTGAATGCCTTCTCACCTGTGTGCGCTCTCTGATGAATCCGAAGATAGTTTGAGTAGGCAAATGCCTTCCCACAGACGGTGCACTTGTAGGGCTTCTCACCCGTGTGTGTTCTCTCGTGAACTCGACAATTTGATGAACATACAAAAGCCTTCCCACACGTGGTGCACTTGAATGGCTTTTCGTCCGTGTGCGTTCTCTCATGCAGCTTGAAGTGTCCAGGGCGATCCGTGCTGTAGGCACACCGGTCGCATTGATGCCTTTTAGCACGGCGCTCTGTCGAGGGCTTCTCCATGCGATCGACTCTGCAAATATACCTTACACTTAATTTGGAGCTTTCGTGACTGCAGGAATTATTCTTTGGTTCTTTCGGTAAAGTCACGTATAAAGATAAAATAATAACTTAAATTAAATACTAGCATACAAAGTTTCGATTGCAACACAAGCAATCATCATCAGGTATAAATTAAATAGAAACACAAATCTAGTATACTTAGAAATGTAATGTAATATAACAGAGTCGGATAACATAACAGTCAACACCCTATCTGGTTGAGAGAGATTAAATCTCTCTCTCAAATTTAGCATTCTCAGGAAGAACTTAATCAACCAGATAGGGTGTTGACTGTTATGTTATCCAACTCTCTGTTATATTACATTACATTTCTAAGTATACTAGATTTGTGTTTCTATTTAATTTATACCTGATGATGATTGCTTGTGTTGCAATCGAAACGTCGTATGCTAGTATTTAATTCAATTTAATATTTTATCTTTATACGTGACTTTACCGAAAGAACCAAAGAATTATACCTTACACGTTACACACAACATGAAATCGACTGCAGGTATACGTTACACGTTACAACATGCACACACGCACTACAGAGACATCCCCCGTGTGCAGGGAGCCCCCCCCCCTGCATCCCTCCTCCCTGGCTCCTCCCCCTTCTCACCCTACTATATAAGAGCGTGTCACTAAGAGCCCTCTGCTCACGGCAGTGATTGTGCTCTGGTTGTCCCACCTGACGGAAGCTTGTGCTGCCTCCGAAACGTCGTAACTTAATTATTTTCATATTCTTGGTTCTTTCGGAAAAGTCACGAAGGGAAATAATAAAATAAAACTATAAATATATGATTGCTTGTGTTGCAGTCGAAACGTCATGAGAATTTTAATTGTTTTATATTATTTTATTATTTCCCTTCTATGTGACTTTACCTAAAGAACCAAAGAGTATACACTTTCAGAATTAAGAGAAAAGTAATTTCATTCGTGAATGATGAATATTATTTATTGTTAGCCTTGTAAAAAATACATTTTACTATATTGTTTTCATCTACGTGACTTTACCTAAAGAACCAAAGAGTATAAACCTCCAGATATTAAGAGAAAAGTTATTTCATTCGTGAATGATGAATATTATTTCTTGTTAGCCTTCTAAAAAATACATTTTACTATATTGTTTTCATCTACGTGACTTTACCTAAAGAACCAAAGAGTATAAACCTCCAGATATTAAGAGAAAAGTTATTTCATTCGTGAATGATGAATATTATTTCTTGTTAGCCTTGTAAAAAATACATTTTACTATATTTTTTTCATCTACGTGACTTTACCTAAAGAACCAAAGAGTATAAACCTCCAGATATTAAGAGAAAAGTTATTTCATTCGTGAATGATGAATTGTATTTCTTGTTAGCCTTGTAAAAAAAACATGTTTTCATCTACGTGACTTTACCTAAAGAACCAATAAAAAAGGTGTTATTATAATTTGTAATAATTAAATAATAAAATGCCATAACTTTTACTAATTAAAGAATTATAAAGATATTAAGAGAAAAGTAAATAATAAAAACATTTTATTATTTTTCTTTAACTTTGTTTTCCTTTTGTAAATATTACTGGGGGGAGGGCACAGCATCTTGTAGTCCAGGGGCCTACACAATCTTAATCCGGCCCTGCCCATGTGCAGCCTTAATTGTGTTGGGGCAGTGAGTGAGAGTGAGATTGTCAGTGTGTGTGTGTGAGATTGTCAGTGTGTGAGTGTGAGTTTGTCAGTGTGTGAGATTGTCAGTGTGTGTGTCAGTGTGTGAGAGTGTGAGTGAGAGTGTGTCAGTGTGAGTGTCAGTGTGTGAGAGTGTGAGAGTGATTGTGAGATTGTGAGTGAGAGTGTGTCAGTGTGAGTGTGTCAGAGTGAGTGAGATTGTGAGTGAGAGTGAGATTGTGAGTGAGAGTGTGTGTGAGATTGTGAGAGATTGTGAGAGTGTGTGTGAGTGAGAGATTGTCAGAGTGAGTGTGAGTGAGATTGTGAGTGTGAGTGAGATAGTGAGTGTGTCAGTGTGTGAGTGATTGTGAAATAGTGAGTGAGTGTGAGATTGTGAGTGTGTGAGATTGTGAGAGTGTAAGTGTAAGAGATAGTGAGAGTGAGTGAGCTTGTGAGTGTGTGATAGTGAGTGTCTGTGTGTGTCAGTGTGAGCTAGTAAGTGAGAGTGTAAGTGTGTAAGAGTGTGAGATTGAGAGCTTGTGAGTGTGTAAGAGAGATAGTGAGCTAGTGAGTGAGAGTGTGAGCTAGTGAGTGAGAGTGTGTGATTGTGAGCTAGTGAGTGAGATTGTGAGTGTGTGTGAGAGTGTGTAAGAGTGAGAGTGTGTCAGTGTGAGTGTGAGATAGTGAGTGAGTGTGTGAGTGATAGTGAGCTTGTGAGTGTAAGAGTGAGTGTGAGTTTGTGAGTGAGAGTGTAAGTGTGTAAGTGTGGTGAGTGAGTGAGATAGTGAGTGATTATGAGCTAGTGTGTGTAAGTGTGTAAGATTGTGAGTAAGAGTGAGTGAGAGTGAGTGTGTAAGAGTTTGTGAGTGAGAGTGTAGGAGATAGTGAGTGATAGTGTGTAAGAGTGAGTGAGTGAGAGTGAGTGAGCTAGTGAGTGTGAGTGTGTAAGAGTGTAAGATTGTAAGAGTGAGCTAGTGATAGTGAGAGTGGTGCCACGCACCGCTGGCGAATCGCCGTCATGGTCGAGGCCGCCATCTTGTCCCCCTCACGACTCTAAAATGGCCGCCAGCGAGGAGGGGGAGGAGCCAGAAAATTTGGCGGGAAAACAAACCGCCGCGTCACGTGACAGGCGAGACGCTCAACTGTGATTGGCTCCAAGGCGGAGAGAGATTTTATTTTTTAGAGGAAAACTTTTTTTGTACCGTACGTACGACTAATTACTAAACTCGCCATCAACAATAAACACTCGCGTTGGCATTCGTGAGATATACATAAATAAAGTAAAAAATGTATTGGTTATGTAAATTATCAGAAATCTCATACAGTATAAGGTACATAAAAATTAACCCGTAAAAACAAAGTTTTTCACTCTAAATCCTTTATATGCGTGGCATCGGGGCGGCTAGAGTCCTCTCGTCCTCTGGTTTGAGATGGCTGCCACCTATGGGTCAGATGATTGTCTGCCACCATTAAGCAATTGGTAATTAAATATTTAAAATATTTTCCCTAAACAGTGTAAAATTTGGGAATTTTTTTTTCACAAAAAATAATTGTCACGCACGAGTCTGTGTGGAAAATGTCAGCTCGATTGGATCACGGGAAGTGGGTTAAAAAACGAGCGAAAGGTTTGCACGGTCGTAAACAAGCAAGCAAGTGAACTTAATATAAAGGATTTAAAAATGACCCAAATGAGATGTTGACTGGTAATTACATCTCAAACACAGCTGTCAACAGTGACAGAGCATGCTTGCCAACAAGGGCATTCAACTAATTTTGATAACGTGGAAGTGTTATGCAGAAGCGAATTATTACTGGCCAAGACTAATTAGAAAATCAATCGAAATTGAGAAAAATACAAATAATTTCAACCGCTGTGATAGCTACAGAGTCAGCACAGCCTGGATGCGCTTGCAGGGGATTACACTTTATATATTGGTGCTTATCCTCAGAGCCACGAGTGGAAATTTCGCATTCCTACGGTGGATCAAATGATGTTTAGTCTGATCAATAATTCCCAATGGGTAGTTCATCAACTGTTGCACTGTTGCATAGTGCAGCAGTGGCCAATCGCATTCCTACGGTGGATCAAATGATCTTAATTTTGGAGCTTTCGTGACTGCAGGAATTATTCTTTGGTTTTTTCGGTAAAGTCACGTATAAAAATAAAATAATAAATTAAATAATAGCATACGACGTTTCGATTGCAACACAAGCAATCATCATCAGGTATAATAAAATAGCGACATAGAATATAACCAGAAAACTATAGACAGACATATAAGCAGACAGATATCACCAAGATACATAGAGAGAGCAACCCAGGTACAGAGAGAGGTGATCGTCTCTGTGGGGTGGCCTTAAATAGACAGAGGGGGGCGGAGGCAGAGAGAGGGAGGGGGTAGGGAAAACATTTACATGTCAATGAGTACGAAGGGAGGGGCGTAAGGTAAGCAGGCTTAGAGGGAGACAGAACACACTAAATTAAATAACCTAGCAAAGTATCGAAATGTTATGTAAAACGACACAGAGAGTCGGTCAACACACAATTAACGCATTGCCTGGTCGATTACGTATTTCAAAGATTGCTAAGTTAGAATTTAAGTGTGAAAATTCCAAAGAAAGACAAAACATAAAAAAGAGGAACGGAGACACACAGACAGAGCAGAACCTAAGAACGATACAAAACGAGTGTAGACAGAGAAAATTACACTAAATATACAGGCAGAGAGAGAGAACAAGAAACCCAGAGAGAGAGAAAAAGGTAAACTTGGAACTTCCCCGTAGAAGTGGTTCAATCTTAATTTTGGAGCTTTCGTGACTGCAGGAATTATTCTTTGGTTTTTTCGGTAAAGTCACGTATAAAAATAAAATAATAAATTAAATAATAGCATACGACGTTTCGATTGCAACACAAGCAATCATCATCAGGTATAATAAAATAGCGACATAGAATATTCTAACTTAGCAATCTTTGAAATACGTAATCGACCAGGCAATGCGTTAATTGTGTGTTGACCGACTCTCTGTGTCGTTTTACATAACATTTCGATACTTTGCTAGGTTATTTAATTTAGTGTGTTCTGTCTCCCTCTAAGCCTGCTTACCTTACTCCCCTCCCTTCGTACTCAATGACATGTAAATGTTTTCCCTACCCCCTCCCTCTCTCTGCATCCGCCCCCCTCTGTCTATTTAAGGCCACCCCACAGAGACGATCACCTCTCTCTGTACCTGGGTTGCTCTCTCTATGTATCTTGGTGATATCTGTCTGCTTATATGTCTGTCTATAGTTTTCTGGTTATATTCTATGTCGCTATTTCATTATACCTGATGATGATTGCTTGTGTTGCAATCGAAACGTCGTATGCTATTATTTAATTTATTATTTTATTTTTATACGTGACTTTACCGAAAAAACCAAAGAATAATTCCTGCAGTCACGAAAGCTCCAAAATTAAGAGCGATGGAAGAATTTCGAATCCTTCCCGACTCCAGAATCGATGTGCGGCTTATCACCAAATCGATTCTCTCCAATCTGGGACTGCAATAACAAACGATTATAGAATCGATCATCGATTCACAACGCCCCTTTCTTTTACAGCGGTTGAATCGAGTTGCGTTTTGTTCAAGAATCGAATCGACGACAACGCGGTCTGAGTGGCTGAGCCAATAGAAGCGCTCCCTGCTGGAAGGCGCCGTCCAATCAGAGGCGATGGTGGCTCTAGGTGCACGTAGCCTGGCACCAGCTCCACTGATTATTTGAACCGGTCCCGGGCCTCCCCTAGGTCGCCTCAGCCTCAAAGCAGTAGCTGGTGTGGTGTGTGAACATCGCCACTGGGGAGACAAAGGCGGCCGGGTAGTAGAGCGAGTAAGATCACGTGAGGAGTCTATACGTCAAGGACGTTATTATATTATATTTTTATTTTTAAAAAATTAAGAAATTTTATTGCTTTGTAAATAAAAACAACAATTTGCTAAACCTTGGTCACAATATCTGGACTTGCCTTCATGTAAATCAACGCATAGATTTCTGTTGATATGATTGTGGTTGTACTTTATTAATCCGTAATCTCAAACATTACATACAATAACGCAAGAAATGGTAAAAAAAAATTAAGTTAAAACAGAGCAATGTAATACAATACACTGTTAGACATTATTGTAAAAAAGATATAATTATAAAAAGTCCATCCCATGTATTGGTGAATTTGTAAATGTTTTAGGCAGGAAATGGCAGGAAATTAGTTTTCAAATTTAGATATTTTTCTGGGGGGGAGGACCCCAGACACCTGGAAAATCTGGCCCCCCCAATGTTGTCTCCATGGCTACGGCCTTGCACTACACTATACACTACACTATACACTACACTATACACTACACTATACACTACACTATACACTACTACATACTACACTATACACTACTATACACTACACTATACACTACACTATACACTACACTACACTATACACTACACTATACACTACACTATACACTACACTATACACTACTACACACTACACTATACACTACTACACACTACACTATACACTACTATACACTACACTATACACTACTACACTATACACTACACTATACACTACTACACACTACACTACACACTACACTATACACTACACTACACTATACACTACACTATACACTACACTATACACTACCTATGAAAGTCATCTTTCGTCTGTGTGTCTGTCTGCCTGTTTGCGCGGGTACCTTGTGACGTGTTTCACTTACAAACTGTGGGGTTTTACGCATCGAAAAAGTACACAGATACCACACCGTATGCCCCGCGACGGAAAAGCGCTATTCGTATTTCACATCTGTCAAGTTTAAAGTGGTTAAATTAACAATGTATTCCCTTTCATTAGCACAGGGTGGTTCCAGGCCACGCATCTGCGCATGCGCGAGAAAGTCGCCACCGCTGAGGTGAATTCTTCAGTGTGATCGGTGGGGCGGAATTATGAGGTGAATTCTTCAGTGTGATGTCCTCTTCTCCCCAATGTGTGCAGCACTTACTACTATAGGGTCGGTAGCAGAGGTCGCAACCGAGTACCCGATACCCGTACCCTACCCGATACCCGGCTACCCGTACGGGTACGGGTAGCCGTTTGCGACCCTGGTGCGGCCGGGTACGGGTAGACCGTGAGTCATTGGTGAGTAACTGTTTGTCACTCATTTCCCAACGTCTTGTCTCTTCTCACAATTCAAGTTCCTAGAATCAACCCACTGGCGCCTGCAACATGGCTTCATCCCAGAGGTCGCAATCAGGTACCCGATACCCGTACCCTACCCGTACCCGGCCGGGTACGGGTACGGGTACCCGTTTGCGACCTTGGTGCGACCGGGTATGGGTAAGGAATCAAAACCCGTTTGTGACCTCTGGTCGGTAGATACTACTATTATAGTCCTTGGATGATATTATTGTAGAGCGGGTGGGGGGATGGTGGTGGTGGGGGGGTAGCAGCCCAGCCTCAGCCTGCAAAGGTGCCACCTCGGCCAGCTGGGCAATCTAGGCGAGGCTAGGGGCTCTGCACGGGACTAAGCCTCACCACTACACGCTGTGAAGTTAGTACTATTATAGAGTTTGGATAGCTACTACTACAGCCGGTGGATAAACTATACACTACACTATACACTCCACAGTAGTGCCGTACTGCGTAATGAATTGGCACGGTCTGTTCCTGTTGTACTAAACCTTACTAAATGGCTGTGTCGGGTGGTGGCGGGTTTAACGACGGCGCAACATTTATATATTTATTATTTATCTATTTGGTTGTCTACGTTCATTGTCGTTGTTTTTCTTTGCATTCCCCCCGCCAGATTCGTCAAGCAAGAAATGGAAGATAATGCAGCGCTTGGGAAGCGGCCAGACTCTACGGAGAGCCTGCAAGACATCGATGCTGGTGAGCACGGTGGCACCACGGTGGATAGCAGACGTTGACTACCTCGCCTGGTATACAGGAGGTCGTGGGTTCGATCTCTCATCATCATCACGGTGGCTATGAGACGTTGACTACCTCGCCTGGGATACAGGAGGTCGTGGG